CCTCAAAAGTTCCTATCGTCTGATCGTTCCAACTTCCAAAACATTTATAGTTTTACAAGTCGAGTTCAAACAACGAAGAAAAAAAAAGAAACTCACCTAGGAACCAAAACACTAATCATTTTACGCAACATCAACAGGTGAAAACTTTATAACCTCATGTATAAGCTCGACGAATGAAAAAAGAAACAATAAAAACCTACCCTAAATGAAGCTCTCACGCTTTTTGCTCATTTCTATCCTGAATCAAGAAGATTCAAACCAAGCTTCAGTATCTAAGAAAATTGCAGTTAAAGGAAAAAAAGCATGAAATTGAGTCGCTTTTCCCAAAAGCCTTCGGAGCGCAAGTAATAGCGTTGGGGCGCGCTCTGCCATGTACCGACGATCGCGGCGCCGAGGTCGCCGCGATCGCCGCTGCTGTCGCGAAGTATGAACGCTGCCTCGACGCCGCCTTATAGACCCTTTCCCCTTTCACTTTTCAGTCCGCTGAGATATGTATTATAGGACAGTCAGTGTGAGACCTGACAAAGCATGGTCTGCTATCGTTCTGCTGGCAGTACAGTGGAAAGAGTTGAATGTGAACGCTCAGATGTCAAACACAATGGGTAATACGTCGTGGAAGGCTCGGCGCGGTCTGCTGCGGGCTATCGCTAAGGTTGTTGCTTGTTATTAGAGATTTCATTATAAGACAGATAAGCTATTTGTTCGAAAAAGCCACTGGGTCCACTGCAGTTGATGGGCTTTTCAGTTGAACTCACGATCTGAGCGGAATGTCACTCTCACGTTCAAATTGGATTCCAGTGAATTAACAGCACATGGTGGAGCGATAAGTGGAGAAATTGCACTCAGTCGACTTTTGTTGTCTGCATCGCATAAGAGGAATGTGAACGTGAGTGAAGTACCGGAAACAGAGCTAGGGAGCGCTTAGACTTCGCGGTGACGCGCGTCGACGCTCTGCGAAGCGCTACCATTGCAAAACGTTCCCGTGGTGCAGACAGTAACTCGGCTGTAGACCAGTATCGACGACGGCCGCTAATGTTTTGAGAGAGTATGGAAGGGATGGAAGCAGACTGTTCTCAGGACATATGTACCTTCCTGTTTTCCAGTACTCTTTCAAGAAAACAAGGCCGTCTCCGTCCACCAGTGCTGTCTTCCCGTCTGGCATTTCAGCGCTATTGCAATGGTAGCGCGACATCGCGTAATCTGAACGCTGTATTGCACGCTCAGCTACCATGACGGTTGTTTTTCAGCAGCCTCCTCGAAATGGCGCAAAGATTCAACTGCGTTGGTTGGCAGCACGAGTAGAATGGATGAGTCGAGCAGTGCTTATTGGTCGATGCGAAAAGCCTGCTATCTCACTTGGAGACGAGTTTTCCCGAGAAAGGGATGATGATGGAGAGGTAAAGAGGACTGCTCAGTTTTAGTTCGGGAGAACAGTATG